TGAAGTTATGTGACTCTAATATACCTAACGTTCAAATTAATGCCATCTTTAAAGCGCTTCAAAGACAACACAATTTGAAAGAAATTGTAAGAATAGTCCGAATGTTAATTGTTTTAATTAATTATCAATTATTTTTAGGACATTTCGTTCTCAAATATTATTCTTGAAGATTCTGTCAGTTTTATGAATTGTTTGCCATTCTTGCCATCGCTTCAAGTTTTGAACCTAAAGTGTACATCAATTGGTTTGCAGACAATGGAACAGTTATTGACAAAGAATTGTCACAATTTATGTCATTTGAATATCAGTTACAATGCATTTGGCGATTATTTCTTCGAAACCATTTCTAAACTTATTAAACATTTTCCAAAACTAAATGTCTTGGATTTGAGCGCTTGTGATCTCACCAACCATTTCCCAGAATCGTGTGAATTGAATGAAACCATAAAAAGTAAGGATTATTGATATAATTTTATTAATTTTAAAACATTTAACTATTTTCTTTAGGTTCAAACTTGCGTTCAGTTATTTTGGGCTATAATACCATTGATGAACCGTTAATAGAAAAGTTCCGCAATTTATGACATTTTAGTACCACTTGTTATGTCTTTAATATAAAGATCACTTTTGAATAGTTCAATAGATTTTAGGTTTTAACTATTTTTAATTTAATTTATATTAAAATATTACTGTATTTGTATTTATAGACAGTTTTATAAGTTATTTATCTCTTATGTATTGTCGTGTTAAATGAATATACATCATACATCACATCAATACCTCATTATGTAACCGGTTTGACCAAAATGATGATGATTTGCTTGCATTCACAGTCCTCCACCACATTTAAATTTTATATCTGTTTTAATACATTGTTATTAATTGACGTTTTATTAAATTATTGGCTGAAATGTTCGGTTCAATGAATTATTTATGTTTATAGCGAATATAGTTATAAATGAATCCATAAAATTAATTGCTTAATAAAAAATCATTTATTGAAGTAATACATTATTTCTAAATTGTTGTCATTTAAATTATAAGTTTTCATGTGTTGTTTATGTAATGATTATCACGTTTTTTATAATACCATTTATATTACGATAAATATAATTTTAACCAAATTCACAATATTTTATAGATAATAAAAGTTATTTTAACACATTTTTACATTTAAAACATTGTTTCATTTCTTTTTTTGACACAATGATAATTTTAAATAGATTTAAATATTTTATTTAAAATATTAAAACCCTTAACCAAGTGTTAAAGTTGTGATTAAATATCAAATATTTATTCAAGCGACTAGATGCTTTTGTTATACAAACAATTCGTATTGTAATATAAATAAGATTTTTAAACAATAAGAAATTATTGATATTTCAAAAATAACTTATTGTTAAGTGTTTATAGATTTTGTTTTTGGTTTTTTGATTTATTATAACTAATTTTTTTTATAATTTCCAAATAGTGACATAACTATTTATTTAGTACTCTTTATAAAGCTTTTCATCGCATTGTTTCCATTCTAACATTATATTGTAATAATTATTTTGATAAATATTTCCAAGATTTGAATAAAATTATAGAAATCACTAATAATAACAATATTTTTAAATTTTGAATTCAGTTAACTTTCTATACAATTTTAGGTTCTGTTTATGTATGTATGGTATTAAATAGTTCTGTCCAAAAATATAGCGAAAAGAAACTTATATTAAAAATGAAAATAAATTGACGAATACTATGATGAGAAGCGAAGTAACCAAATGATTAGTATTGAGGGAAGCGCTATGAGAGGCGCTGAAGGCATAACTCCGGCCTTTCCTCACTTCGGAGCTAAACATATCGATCTCTTTCCACGTCGGGACTAAAACAACCAGATTTTGCATTAAATAGTAATTAAATATATGAATTGATTAAAAATGTGATCTACTGAATGCAACTGTACTGTACCTCCAGTACCCATCGGTTCATCGCTGACCACTAAAGCGGGTCTTTTATCGACTTTTTTCTGCCACCAAACGGGACGAGAATTGTCCAAAACTTCGTTTTTGGATATTTTATCATTTGATGCAATGACTGAAAGCATAATTAACGTTATTTTGATATGTTTTGCGATAAAATTTCAATGATTTCTATTTATAGAAGTAAATATATTTTATGCATTGAATAAATAGATAACAATATTCTAATATAATTGTTAGAATCAATAAAATTACTGATAATAATCTATTTCACAGCCTATGAGATACATAAATAAAACATAAAGACTTTTTGTGAAATTTATTCAACGATTTAATCATTTTTACTTTATTTGGATTTATTAATTATATACTGATTTTTGCACAATAGATATTTAGATAATAATTTTTAATTAAGTGTTTAATATGTAGTAATAAGATAAGAAAATAATACAATGATTACTTTATTATTCCCTATTATATTCTGAATATTATAATTCGCATAATTATAACACAAAATGTGTATTAAATTTAAATATCAATTGTATTATCAAATAATCACCACAAAACCGGAGTTACAATTGCTTACAATATACCGTACATATTGTGTTTAATAAGGCCTAACCTATGCTGTGATATAATGATGGGATAGTTGTTGTGGGAATAGTGGGAAGTGACTGCTCTATAAGGTATCACATAAAGAGAGTACTGTATACGAGCCCATGATCTTGACCTACAATTCATCTTAACTACCATTTTATCAATTCTTTTGAATCAATTGTAAATTATATTTTGTTCACATAATCATAACATGTCATTAAAAGCTTTTTCAATAGTTTCACCCAATTTTATCAGTGTATGTGTGTGTAAAATAAGCTCATATATAGCTCACATATTTATTTTTATAATTTTACAAATATTTATAACATGTATAACTTGTGTAACTTTTATATGCACCGCATTATCTAGTAATGTCTTTAAAATCGATTAACATGTATTTGAGTAAAAATCCCATTATTTTTACAAATGATCAGTTGTATTACAAATATTAAATATTCATACAAATATGCCATTCAATGTATAATTTAATTTTTATGATAAGTTTAATGTTTGACATAAATTCGGTTTATTGCTATCAATGTGTTCAGAATCATAGGAATTATGCTTTCAGTCATATGTCCATTGAGTGAACAATTAAATTAAATGTATAATTGAGTGAAATTTTCCTTAAAATGATATAACTTTTCTCAATAGTTAACGTGATAACAGCATTATCTCATAATTTACTGTATTTTTAAATATTTAATATTATAATATGTTATTCATTGTTTGCCAGAAATTCATTTACTGTATTATATTATCTATTATTTCAATACAATTGACACAAACATATTTAAACAAAACTTTATTTATAGTATATAAATCGGGCACAATTTAGACAACAATATTCTATGTGTTATAAAACGTACTTTTAAAATAAATATATCCCATTGTTTTCATAAAACAATGTTTTATTTAATACAAAAACAATTAATAATTTATTAAAAATATTTTTATTGGATTAAAACCAAATAAATTTTAAATTATAATTAATATAAAGACAAACCTCTTCCATGACTTCGATTAATGTGAATCTCTTCTGAATGGACGCCGAAAATCATTAAACAAAAAATCACACAAAAAAATATATGGATTATTGAGAGAAAACTTTTAGTTTGAATGCATTTTAAATGATCGTCAAAATAGTTGATTGACATCACGGCTCGTCTGAAGAGAGAACTCATATTTAATAATTTAGTGCCCAAAAGTATTCATACGATGAGAAAGTAAAACTATTTAAAATAAATCTTATTTTAATGTTGGTATTTAGATAGGTTTATCATGTTTATAACACGATCAATAGATTTAGGTAATCAATAAAGCAAATGAACACTTGATTTGAATATATTGTTAAACAAACGATTCAAATGCCGTCTGAATGTGATTTTAGGGTTACATTAATTCAACTCTTCAAATGTCTGAACCTTCAAGACTTGTAAGTAATGAACAAAACCCCACAAACATAGCACTACTCACACAGTTTTGAACCGAAAACTAGTTTTACAGCTTATGTAACCAATACTTGCATAAGAATTGCCTTTAATATTGACTTATATAACAACTTTTTTGAAAGGCTCTCGAAAGCGGTTTGAATGTAACCAAAGCTTAAAATTAAAGATTTAGGCACTTATGGGATAATCATTAGTGAAAATGAAGTACTCCTTCGCCAACAAAAATATTGGGCAAAATTGTGTAAAATTGAAATTAAAGGTGTATTTTCAATACTACATCGCCTGAGCTGTCCGTACAGTTATGTTTAATATCAAAATCTCTTCCCACTTATGTTTTATAGTTAGTTATGTTTCTCATGACATCAATGAAACAATAAAAAACTAAACATAACTCAATGCTAAATATTAATATTATGAAAATTCTAAGACAATCAATACATGATTTAAGCATGATTATATTTAAAACAAATTAAACAACAATTTGTTAAAATACAATTAAATATTTGTTTTTAATTAACAAAGTAGAATTTTAACAATTTACATGTCATAATAAAATTCTTAATGAAAAAATGCAAACAATATAATTTACATCAAAACAGAAAAGCAATTACTGTATTTTATAATTTGTTGGATTCAGAAAATTATAACAAAATATTTATGTTTTTATTCATTACATAAGAATTCAATTTATATGATGTTCAATAGTAATCGGATATTTAAATTCAATAATTATTTTACAATACTTTACAATATTTATTTTATAAATAAGTTATTTAAAATAACTATTGTTTAAGTCATTATGAATATGTTTTTGCTGGCAATCACTGACAAGTTTTAATAAATTGTGATATGATTTTGCTATATTTAACAGATTGCTATATTTGCTATATTTACTAGACACTAAATAAACTGAAATTTCAATATTAAAAGTGTATTATTTGTATTGAGATTCATATATTCTGTTCTGACATTTATTCTCATAGTATTTTATAAACGCTTTAGGAATCACTCAATAAAATCCCTTTTATGCTAATCAGAGAAATGAAGTGACTTTTGGCATACAATCGGTATGTATTCAATATCATTGCTTTAATAATAAATGAATTCACAAATAAAAACACAAAAGCAAATCACGTTTTATATACCAATTAGTTAACTCAAAACAACAACATATTAATGTATGATATATCCTAACCCTGTATTCTTAAACAACATTAAAGTCTATATTAATTTGGTTAGAGTGCAAATATCACAGTTAATACCAAATTCTTAATTACTAAATTGAACATGCCATGTTAAAATATAAGATTTTGTTGACATGCTATAAAAAGCTTCTTATAATGTATTCCCAGAAATTGTTATTTTAATGTAAATTTTTATGACTATAATAATTGTCAAAGATTTATGTTATAAGGCCTGCACTATAGAGACATTCATAACATTTAATATTCTGTTCAATAAATAGAGCGATAAATATAATTTGGGATAAATCGACAAAAATAAAATCATTATGGTCCAAATTATAGTCCTAATTGACCCTATTTAGCATAATTTCTTCAAATTATAAAAATATTTGCATTTTATTTCCAATGAAGGCCTCTATTGTATATTCCGATAATAAATGGATTTAATTACTCATATAGATATACAGTACACATGTATATCGGAATCATTGATAAATTAATTATTTATCTGAATTTTATAACAAATGAATTATTAAAACCCGATTTTCACAATTTTTTATTTTACTTTAAAGTTATGACTAATTTTTAATTCATTAGTGTTTTAATGAATAACACAATGAGAAGCAAAAATCAAAATTAATTAAATTAATGAAAGTTTAATGAATATTATATATTATATATTTAATAATAGGCTTATTTGGCTAAAAAGGGGTTAATTATAATTGTGAACCACTTATCAAATTGCCATAAATAAGGCATTATATAGATATTGAAACACTTTATCAAATCATAAATCTTTTTTTAAAGTAAAAGTAAATTTAATTAAAAAGCCATATATTCTGAGCGAAATGAATATGGGTTTTAGCCCACAATGAATGCCTTCAATATCGCACATAAATCTATAACTATTGAGAAATAAAGCAATAAAAGTGAGGACAGAATCGCGACGTAAGGACACGTGAATGAAGAGGCGTTATATTTATCAATATTGGATAAAAACAATGACAAATTGTGTACACAATTAATGATATAAATGATTGCGACGACTAATTTTTGTCACATTCAAATATGTTCTCCATGGTAACATTGCCAACCAGGTGAAAGTGCACCTGTATTACAAACCATCGTTTTATCATATAAAGCTTTATATTGAGCCCATAGTTAACATTTCGCATAACATAATGTAAAGTATAGTGGCTTATAGTGTCTGTGCGCTGTTGTCTCTGTCTATAGCAATAAACCGTTCATTCATTCATTCAAAACATTTCATTCACTTTCGGATTCTCGTCTCAATTGCGATACAAGAGAGCCGGAAATCCTTTACCTTTTTTATAATATTCTGTGTTAAAAAAGTTATATTTAAATGAACCTAAAGTCAAGTGTAATGAATGGGATGTCAATGTCATCAAAAGTATATACATCTCATTTCGGATCACTTTAGTGGCAAACAAATCACTTGAGCACTGGTTTTACATAATTCTGTGCATTTAATCAAAGAATATTATACTAAATATTGTATTTAATTGTTATACCATTTGTGACCTATTATTGCATTCTCTGTTGAGTTCATGTTATAATCGTTTAACAATTATGTAAAAACTATTTGTGAAGCTTTTGTTGAAAAAACGATAAATTTATTGTAAAAGATGTTTTCCAGAAGAATGCAAAAGTATTCACTGTATTTGCTATGGTTTTTGTCTCTTAACCTCGTTTACCACATCTCAGGTAATGTTAAATAAAGTTTGTTTTAATGAGTTTTAAAGTAAAAAATTCTCGAGTCTGTGTTGCATATATTCAATACTTATAATTCTTGACAATTTGTGTTTTAGTCACCAAATGTCAGACCACTTCTAAAAAAAGTCAAGGTTTAGGTAATTATCAGTTTATATCTACACTTTTATAACTTATAACATAAATATGCATTTTATATAAAAATTTATGAAAACTAATTCATAATTAATATTAAATATTTAGGAATTAATAAGAATTTAAATAAAGAAAAAGAAACCGAAAAAATATTAAAAGCACAGAAAGAGATCGAAAGTGAGACACAGATGGCTATCGAAGACTTGACCACATTTGCCATCGAATACAGAGAATTAATAAATAATGAGACAAACAATGAAACCCTGAATATAATTGACGGCTATTTGACATTAAATGATAGTTCGTTTATGTTTAACGAAACCGATCTGAAGACGCCTTTCATCATAACATCAAATGTCACCACAAATGGCTCAATGGTGTCAATCAATGTCGAAACGCCTGATTATACGAATGGCACTGAAATTGACTTATTTGTGAACACATCGACACCAATAAGTCTTAATTACTCGACGACACCCTTTGAGACAAACGATACAGAATTGACAGAAATGCCAGACTATGAGACCCTATCCACTGAAGTGACACAACATTTGAATGAATCGCCGTTTCATAACTCGACCATCACTGGCATCGGTTCCGTAACACAGAGTTCTGTCGACTTAAATAACGGACTCAACGAAGAGTCTGAGAAATGTGTTTTCGAGAAACAAATTCAATGCAAAAACATTCAACTAATGTGTTTCGGTTCGGGAGAAGTGGACTGCGGGTCCAAAGCCAGGAACAGGAGAAACACTATAAGTGCGGACACAATAGTGAACCGCACTCTCGATGACAACGACTCTAGTTTTCAAGTGTCTAAACAATATCTCGAGAAACAGCCCCTAAGCGAGAGAATCGAGAATATAAAGTGTGTTTTGACAGCTCATCATAACTCCTACTTTGCGTGCAATCCTTTGCCCACAATTAATGACTGCAACG